TTTTTCCATTTAAAATAGTAAATCTAATCTAAAATAAACAAAACTTGTCTGAACTCGATAACTTTGTTATTGTTTTTACATGTAATTTATTTGGCAAGAGAGTAGAAGGGAGCAGAGATATGGCGAATCGAAGACCGATATTCAAATACTGTTTTATATTTTAAATGAAAGAGATCGCATATAAACACATATAAACACAGTTTTAAATTTTTTTGTGAAACTGCTTTTTATAGGAAATATTTGAAAAAATTGCTTCAAATTTTAATCAATCTGTTGTTCCCTAGTTCATATGCAATACTGTCCGTCATTTTTGTCCTAACTTTAATACATATAATACAATACCACTGAAAATATGTATTTATATGATTCGCTTATATTAGAATAAGATCTGCCAAATTTGCTAGTCTTCCTTTGAACAGAGCCTGTAAATACCAGATCGAACTTGAGACCAGATATAATTAAGACCTCCTCTTAAATCGAAATTTTGTACTTTTCAGCCAAACTTTGTCAATTTCAAAAGTCTTTTTACAGTCGTACTTATCTTGCATTACAACCACCTCTTCTGAATTTTTCTGATATGTACCACTAGTTTTACATGTTTTCTAGGGCTTTGCATATACAAAATGTATACTCCCGAAAAAAACGCTACTTCTATAAAGAGCTTAAATTATGTGAGACTGACATGTTACATCGTTATCAAAACGCACACAAATTTCACATACTCACTAAACAATAGAACAACTAAAAAGAAAATGAATTAAATTGTCTTCGAAACTAGAGCAAATGGCAAATAAATTAAATGTGATAGGTGAGAGCAATCAAAGGAGTTAAGCTTGTGGATAGGTGGTGAGTGGCTGGCACGAAGGTTCGAGTATACAAAACAATCAAGTCTCCAGTCTGGCTGGTTGGTTAAGTTGCCAGCATATAAATATTCGCGTAGGATCAAGTAAAAAGAAAGCAAAATTACTTAACTAAAAACTAAAACAAAAACAAAACGACAACATTTGAAAAAAAAGCAAGTCAAGCTGGGAAAGTCGAACGCAAATACCACGCAGAAGCGCACACGCATTAAACAGAACGCTAACGATGCAAATAGTACTAGCCAGGGCAAAATAACTAACGTATTTGGTTTTGTTGTTGTCGTAATAATAAGAGTCGCCAACGGTGCCAACCGAAGAACTTCGTTTTGAGCGTTTCGTCAGTTGTTTGCGACACTTGCATGTATATATTTTATGTATATATGTGTATGTTTTATGTATATATACATACGGATATAATATATGCATATATATGTCATATACCGTAATGTATAGCAAAGTAAACAAAATCAGACAAATCAAATACCACAGCGGAACTGGAATGGGTGTATGAATGCCGAATGGGAATAAGCAAGAAAAATAAAAAACAATATTTATACTCATACATGCACACATATACAGATATATATGGAATTATAAATATATGCATTTTCCCTATACCATACTTGCTTTCCGTACACACAACTCACATTTCGTAACTTAGTACTTGTATATCTTAGCGACATATCGCATATTATGTAGGTGGCCTCACCCACTCGCATGCCTTCGTCTGCTCCCTGCCACTCAAAGCATAATTTGTAATTGTAATTGTAGCATATACAAAGTAATCCTTAGAAACAGTTATGAGTATTTTGTTTACTGTGCAAATATGTACTTAACGAAATATCGTATATTGAATGCTGTAGTTAAATTTATATATTGTACATTCATATAGACACTCATACAGGGTGTGCCATCTTTTGTGTTGCTATGTAAGCAATAAATAACTGTGATATTTACCAACCAATAGAGTCAGTTAGATTATAAGAAATAATTACAATTTATATTAGAAATAGGTTTGATGTTTGAATTGCACCATTTCACACTATATGGTAGGGTTAAATACTATATTTAGTGAACAAACAATTCATTTGAGATCCATGGAACAACATTTTATGACCAAAGAGTAACCTTCTTAGCTTGGATTTGCGCCAAAATCGTCATTTGACTCTATTTTTTCAAAGCAAACGAGACAGCCGATGGTAGTTATTATTAAAGGCGGTTTATACAAGTATCTGCGCGTAAATGGGTGAAAAATATCTTGAAAGTTGCTGGTTTCAGCTAATTGGCGCACCATGTCAGACTGTGAGTCAAACAGTTCATTCTGAATAACCAAAATTCCCTGGTCTTTTCTGTGTGATTGCCAACCTAAATCACCAAATTTTAACGCTATTTTTGTGTTTATTACAAAAACAAAGTATTTATGGGCTATCTTCATTGACGACCTCAAGACAAACCCTCGTGACTAAACTATTGCTGCCGAAAAAGCTGAATTGTCATTTTTCTGTTGTATAAAAAAATTTAAATAAATGGTAATAAGATCAAACGAAATAAACTTATATCAAATAAGTGGCTATTATGGTTTTTGAGTAATTTTTTATATCGACATAAATAATTACGCACCCTGTACAATAAACATACAGACATGTTAGTATTAAAATAATTTTCATTGACATATTTTGGAATCTAATGACTTAAGTCGGAACTTTCACTGCATTTTAAAAAAGAACGAAAGTTACAGATTTTTTCAATGAGTTCTAGAATGTTTCTTTTTTAAGAAAAATCAGAGCTTTCAATGAAAACATTTAATGAGCTTTACCCCGTCTATTTTTATAGAACAATGAGAACTTTCACTGAAATTGTTTACAATTTTTTTTTTTATCAGCTTTAGAAAATTTCCTGTTAAAGAAGAATGAGAGCTTTTACTGAATTTTGTACAAATTTAGTCAATGAGCTATGGACTGTTCGAAAAATGAGAGCTTTCACTGAAAGCAACAACATACAAATTTTTGATGAGGTTTAGCCTGTCTATTTGTATATAACAAGACGACCTTTCACTCAATTTTATACAGCATTTTTCGATGAACTTTAAACAATTTATTTTTAAAGCAGAACGAAAGCTTTCACGGAATTTCGAACATATTATTTAAAAATAAAGAATGAAAGCTTTATCGGAACTTTATAAAACCAATCCTAAGGGTTTCAGACCTATCGTTTTTAAAAAGATTGAAAAACTTATTTTAATTTTAATTTTTTCTATTTACAGCTCTCTCAACACTTATCTTTTATTTCTAGCCTAGAGCATTAATATTTTGACTCATATTATTTTTAGCTTTCAATAAAAGATTTATTCACGTATCATGAATGACTCTTAAAGTCCCGTTAGAATACACTTTTGTTATTTCATATACTTAATGTCATTGTTATTGCTTAAACATATTGTGTTTGTAAGTTTGTGTGTGTGCGCTTTTTTACTTTTGAATGCAGCCGGAAGTATCCAATGAATGACAATAGAGCATAATAACGGTTACACACACATACACATATACAGAAATATGACCTATGCTTATAAATGCACATTGTCACAATCAGCCACATGCACAAATCCATATATAGTATGCATTCGTTTCGTATTGTTTGACTAGCTAACTGTTCACTTCCAACCTGAGTGAATCCATTGTTGTAATTCTCACATGTGCAAAGTTCACTAAACCTCACAACCTTTTATGTGGACATAAGCAATAACTGTAATGAACTAATGAGAAAACCAAAAGGCAAGCACACCAAGCGTATATGAGCACAAATATGTGTATGTGTATAACTATTATTATTTATGTGAAGAGGTGCAAACGGCTGCAACTACTTATATACAAATATATAGTATGTACGAATGTGTGCTGTAAAAAAATTGTAAAATCACATTATTAAATAATTGCATTCTTGTAGAAATGTACCAAATGTAAATAGTTAAAGTTCTTAAAATATGTTATGGAATTTTCCTGGATTTTTGAAGCATATTTGTTTGAGTGTTTTCTAAGTGATTATTTTCAACAATATTTTATAAAAAAGTTATCAAAATAGTATTAACTATTATTTTAAAAAACTATTGATTCAAACAGTCACCGACGCAAAACCGTGGACCGAATCAGCTGATACGACCTATCTTATGAGAGCGCAATGTAAATGAACACTCACCAGCGCTTCTACCGTCCGCCTCTACAGACTGTACGATAGGATATCCGTGAAAATTGGATTTTTCACGTAGAAACGAGTGAGCTGAGAGCTAGAGAACAATCTCATGCAACACAGGGTTGCCATTCTCTATATTTTGTAGTAATTAAAGAATAAACTTAAATATATTTGAATTATTCTTAAAATAACTCAAAATCCCAGTCGAATACATTTATTTATTATTAGTTTGTTCTTAGTTTTGAATTTCCACATTATGAAAAATTATAACTAAAAAACTAAATGTGTGAAAAATCGCGTATACAAATAGAACAATGGCAGTATTGGTGAAATGAAAACAAAAGAGAACAACTGATTTCTGCGCTGGAACTACGGGCATAACTTTTGACAGATTTGGTTTGATACGGAAAGAGAGACAAGCTGAAGTAGCTATTCTTCTGAAGAATATAAAAATAGCTGATCAAAAGAGAGCTGCTTAATTTTTTCTCTACCAACAATATTAGTTCAAACAATACATCTTTAACGAAAGAAAACTATATATTTTCCCTCTCTTAAGATACAACCAACTCTCAATTTAAGGAAATCTGCAACATGTTTTTTCAAAAAAATCCACAAAATCATACTCATCCCTGAGAAGTAATACTTCGTCCCACTCAAAGTGGTCAAATACCATGGATTAACAGTATATAAATATTATAAAGAACTCTTCGGACTTGCGGACAACCTGCAGAACGCTTAAACTAGGTTTGATTATATTTCGCTCTTCCATATCAAACTTCTTTATACCCAATATTACTAAGATTTTTGGAAGTATATATGTATAATAATATAATTATGTGGTTTTCAATGAATTTCAGTGTACTCACACTTCTTCCGCAAAACGTTGCATCGCCTACAAATCGCAGCCTTGCGCCAATTTTGCGCTCGTAACGCTTCGTTCGCCGCTCAACGTACTCTTCGTTGCCACCAGCAACACTCAACTCATTAACACGCTTACTAACACAGCTACTACGAACGCTATTAATGCTACTGGCGCACGCCGAACGCCAACGAAAACGTGCGCGATCGCGATCGCGTACACGGAACTTTTTTCTATTACGAGTTCGACTAGCGTTCGATTTGTCACATGACGCGTATGTATACGTAGAGGAAGTAGTTGCTTTACGCGATATGCCTGTCCGCTGTATTATATAAAATTCAGCAGCAGCAACTATACTCTGCTGCGTAGAAATTGCGTTTGCGACGCCGCCGCTGTTGCTGCTACTTATTGTATTGGCCGCAATTGCCGCGCTCACACCGATACGATCATTTGTACTGTCATGTGAGGAGGTTGATTTGGCCGATGAGGATGAAGCGGTTGTGGTTGCGGTTGCGGTTGAAACTGTGGCGGCAGCGGCGTTGGCGGGTGTGGGAGTGGCGCCCGCCAAAATGCCAGCGCACGCTACGCTGGCAGCAGCAAAAATGGCGGCGGCGACTGTGGCAGCAAATCTGCTGCTACTGCGCACTAATAACGCTAAATGGCGTTGTGTGTGATATTGCTGCTGTTGTTGTTGTGTTTGTTGTTGTTCCTGTCGCTTGCCAACACATGTGTCTGCTGTTGCTGTTATGTCGGCTGCGCTTGCTGCAATAGTAGTGACTGTTGTTGTTGTTGCACTCGGTAATTGTGTTTTTTCCCGCGGCTGCTGCGGCGCCTCCGTTGTCGTGGTGGTGGTGTGGGCGGTAGCTAATACATGCCCGCCTCCTCCTCCTCCACCGTTGCGTTGGCGTTGCAGTGTTGCGTTAATCTTGAATGGCAGCGTTTGTTTCGTTAGATGCGTTTAAGTTTAGCGTGCTATGTAGTCGGCTTTTAGGCGCACATCATTTTAGGACAATTTACAATGAATTTCCAACGATTTATTGTTGTAGTAGTATATATGTATAGTATTTGTAGTAGTAGTGGTTTTTAAATGCAATTGAGAGATTTACCATTCGATAAAACTTTTGTTGTTTTGGAACCGTTAAACTCCTTTTAATGATCGTATTGAAAATTACGCTCAATTTGACTTTTTTTAATATTTTTTATCTATTTTAATTAATATATTAATTTATATCATTCGATTAACTATGTTAGTTTTTTTTTAAATCGAATTAGTTTTGCCTGCAATCCTATTTTATTAAACGCACACTGAAGGACAATGCACTTCGCCGTTTCATTTATGCGCCTAAATATATTCTTCTGTTTTTTTTATGTTTCATTTACAGCTATGAACGCCGTGCGTTTTCTTTAATTATGCCGTGCTTTTTTTGGCGCTTTTCACCGATATATTAAACAAAATTAAATACTAGTTAATAGTTTTTGAAACATGCAGCACGTTTCGGCCAAAACAACAACTAGAAATGTGCTTAGAAACAATTTTAACAATTCCGTTAGTTACGTTGTAAATTTTTTTTTTTTTTTTAATATTAATTATAACTCTTGCATGAATTTTGAGTTCTTTTTATTTTTTATTGTTTTTATTTTTATTTTGCTGCACGATACTGTCATATTTTATTGTTGTCTTATTAGTTTTGTTGCGCTCGTTCACTTACAGAAGACAGATGAAGCACACAATGCCAAGTGACAGCCGCACAATGCAGTCATTATTATGTTCTTGTTGTTTTTTTCTATTTATTTTGCAATATCTCGTGCCATTTCGGTCTGCTGGTGCAATGAACTCGCTGTCACTAATGCCGGCTACGACATCATTGTCTCTACACACGATCCTGTGGCGCACCAATGAACCTAAGTTGGGCAGCTGTTATTGATTTATTGCTGTTATTTAAATTATCTTCTTTCGCTAATAATTTTTGTTGCACTTATTTTAACAATTTTCGTACATTGTCTTTTGCTATGAATTTTTATGATTTTGCACAATTTTTGTCGATTATTTTTGTTTTTTAAGGTTTCTGTTACCGTTATTCTCCAACAGCCACAGCTAATGACAGTCCATTTACTCTTCGCTAAAACTGCAGGCTTATCTGCCTTTCTTTAGTTTTCTACTTGGCGCTCCCTTTGTTAGTTGCTTATTGCGCTTAATTGCTCTTTTGTATTGCCTACTTTTAGGCTATTTGTTTGCTAACTACCAACGTTTGCTGTGTTCACAACAACAACATATTCTAGTATCAGTTTCATAGGCCTGTAGCGAGGAGCACTAAATGCGCTTGACATTAGCGGCACAATGCTTGAAACACAGCCAGCTTTTGTGCACAAATACCATAAGAACTTCCTTTTAGCTGAAGTTGTTGTTATTGAAGGGAATAAGGTGGAAAGTTATTTTTTATATGTTGTTTATTAAGAATGCTTTCAATTCGTAATTAACGTGTTTATCTGTACTCATTTACTGTGTCCATTTGCTATAAATAGTTTGAATCTTACTTGCTCTCGCTCGCTTGCTCTCTTTCACAATATGCGCCTAAAAGTCTGCCACGTAAACAATGCTGATGCCTTCGTTTGGCTGTGTTAGCTCTAGTGTTCCATGTACATACTTTAAGCTCTATCGCCTGTGTGCTTCACCCTTCACACTCTCGCTCTCTGAACTCACTCTCTCACACTATTTCACTGCTTCAGGCTTAATAACGACTTTAGTTGGTTTTTTAATTACGCTGAGTGTTATTACCGCAATTTTCGGCTGTTTATGGGCCACAACCACTGAGTAGCTTTAGAGTGCGCTTGTTGTGTTGTTTTTGCTTTTTGCTACTATGCTTTGTTATTATTGCTTTGCATCATCTGTAATGAAAAATACGAGAAAAATTATATAAGTAAAATGCGAAAGTGTAATTAGTACTTAAAAATATTGACAGCGCTTAAAAGTAGGCAAGTGCTCTCTACGTTATTAGCAGTGCACAAAAGTATGCTTCAATTTTTTGGATTTTTTTCTTTTGTGGAAACCAAGTTGAGTTTCGTCATGGCTAAATGCAAGAGGAGTAACAATTTTGTCAGTGACCAAAATTAGCTGCTGTAATGTTAAATCCAGATATTTTATGATTTGATATTATTTTCTCTTGCTTATTTAAATTTAAGTATATTATATTATACAAAAATATGTAAATAAATAAATGCATCGCGAAATTAAATTAACTTTTATCTATGCTTTTCGAGACGCGCGTGCCAAAAAGTAGCCAACGACCCAGCGGCATGTGCAGAGCGCCAAAAAATATGCTTGGCATGAAAAAAAGCAAAAATGTGTGGCTTTATTTTGGTTTTTTTGTTTTACTAATACACAAATATATATGTGAAATAAGCTTGTTTTTATCTATCTCTCTATTTCTCTTTTAAACCAACGCGAAAGCTCTTCCACAAATTGGTCAGTTTTTATTTATGCGTTTTTGTAAAATCGTTTGTTTCTTTTTTTTTTTTTCGTTTCATTCGTGTATTTTATTTTGCTGCGTTGCCATTTTGAAAAACTGCCAAAAATTTTCTTTCATAGCCTGCCAGCAGGCACTGCGGTCTTTATCACGAGCTTATCAAAAACCCAAACAGGAAAGGGAAACACGCTATGGCACAACAAAAAATGAAACAAATAAACATTAAAACCACTGCATAGATCTAAACTAAAGCCAGAGAGTGAGCCAATTCATACATATTCTACATACATGTAGGTATGTACTTCTGCTCACAAAAGTATGCAAAAAGACCATTTATTAATATAAAAATTACAGCATACGAGTATTTATGTACTGTTTCGCTACACAGTCGACTTTTTGTAAACATAACGACCGTTTATGTTTATATAGCATATCAGTAAAAATATAACCATATAAATATATTCACAGGCCTGTCCCCGCTCATATACTGCAGCATATTACATTAGAGAAAGGCCGAGAGAAATAAAATATATTTAAATTGTTTCACTATTTTATAACTTGAAATGCATCAATAGTATTAAAAGCTTTTCCAAACCACTCTATAAAATTTACTGCTTTTTGAGAAGAGTGTTTTAAAGTAATTAATTTCATAAATTTATATTAGGGTGGATTTTATATGTACAAAGAAATATTCTTCATATCAAACACTCGAAAATTCTGTAATTATGATATAAAAATTTGGTATTACATGTAGAAAAATGTATATATTATGAAAGATATATGCATAGGATTATGTAGAAAATTTCCGAAGCTTGTTATAGAAAAGTTGAAAGGTGGACTTTTTATTGGTTCAAACACGGTAATTCATCAATGTTTTAATCAAAGTTACGACTGTTAAGGAAAGTAAAGTTTGTTCATTTGGCCGAGATTTTGTTCAAATCATAAATTTCGTAAAATTATCGGCATAACAAAAAAAACAGAGCCCATTTCGACCAAATTTGAGAGTTTTATTTCAATGTAATATTGGGGTGGAGCAACAAATAAAATTTTTTTTTCTTAGCCTGAGGGTCAAATTAATTTTTAAATAATAAAATAAGAAAATGTTTGTAAAAAATGCCTGAGGGAATTTGCAGATTAAAAAGAAATAAAATTTTAGGAAAAAAATATTTTAACATCGCACTCACTTTTAAAATAAAGTTTCGAGTTAAAATTTTTATTTCGTAAAAAAATTTTAATAAGTGTTCTAGAAGCCGTGGAGAGTCCTCTTTCTGGCCAAATAAAAGTTATCAATTTAAAAAAAATTTTTTGGTCATTATTGGAGTTTTAAAAAAAGTCTTAAGCGTTAAAATAAATTGTGAGTCAAAAACCGTCAAATTCGGTAATTTTTATATAAATGTGAAGAGTTTAATCCAAAAAAAAATTTTTTTTGTCCAAAAAAAATTCTAACTCGAAATTTACATTAAAAGTGCCTCTAGATGTTAAATTTTTTTTCACGAAGTTTGTAAGAACCAAAAGGGTACTACAGCCTGACGAGCTGAGTCGATTTAACCACGTATGTCTGTCCGTTTGTCTGTATATACCATCAGTTTTTAAAATATCAATTTAAAATTATTTTGTCGAAACCGCCTTATGTCACAACTTCCCTCTACTGTCACATTTAGCCAAATTGGTTTACTGTTTTCTCCGCTAATGGTCGTCAGAGGCCACAAAACTTTACAAATCCTACAAAAGCATTACTACAAGTAATTTAATCGAATACTCAAATATTTAAGAGACACGTAACATTTTGATAATAAGTTCAAGAAAGTTTCCCATCTGTATGCAAAATAAGCTCGTCTGTCTCTCAGCTATTGGCAACTCTTTTTTGATAGCAAAAAATAATATTTATAATTCACAAATATTACACTTTTTCTTCCTGTTGTTGCGATAAAATTTTTACGATGTGTGGTTCTGTGACTTTCCTTTTTTTTTTAGAGCTTGGAACATTTTTCGTACCATTGCAATCTTCAAATATTCTTGTAGCTTAGCTTTATATATAGGTGAGTTTGGATGCATGGCTGGATCGTAGGTGAGAAAATAGTCTAGAGAAAATGTGAATGGCTAGACTATGAAAAAACTCTTCATGCTACAGATTTAATTGTCATGGCAATAACTAAAGGCTCCTATATTGTTCCAGCGATCTCGTAAACATGAAAATTCACACAAAATTAAACATTTAGGATTCAGGTAAAAACTCAGTTAGAGTCAGATATTTAATAAGTAGCTGAAAATTCGGTACATTCAACTTTATAAAAATCGCTAAACTAAAAATTTAAATGAATAATCCTGACTCCAGAAACTTTCTTTATTACTATAGATGTTTAAAAAAGTTGCACAAAAAGAAAAAGTAGTCGTATAAACAAAAAAGGGGCTGAAATAAGCTCAAACTACCGAAACTTAACACTCTGCCATTGCAGTGGCG